TTTCATCTGGCATCAAAACAAAAAAGAAATATCAAAATATTTTAAAATTTAGTGAGTTATCAACAAACTTTGACAATTCTGTTTGTTTTTGTTGTTTTTCATATTTCTATTTAAAAAGTGTGGAGTATTATATCTTTAAAAGAAGTAGTATCATGTCTTTGCTATTAAAAAAATACCTAATATTGATAACAAGTGACCTAATGTGGGCAGCTTTAAATTCAACAAGAATTTATACGGGTGTTATCTTAAACTTCGAATGTCTCAGTAAAATTTAAAAATGAGATAAATTACAAACTTAACTTATTTTTTGTCCTATAAATGATATCTGAATAAACATATAGTGTGTTCCAATTGAAAATCTTGAGATTTTGTTAACTGAATTCGCCAAAACGGCATCACCTATTTGGGACACCCTCTATAAGATGAGGAGCATCTGTCAAACTGATTGAGTAGTGCATCATCTCCTTAGTGTATGGTTAAATTTTGGTTGTAATATCTGTATCAGTTTCGTAACAACACAATTTTATATGGGGCAATCAAAATATGAAAAAAAAAAAACATAACCTCAATGTGTGCCTAAACTATGCAAAATTCGAATAGGAATTTATTAAGTGACCTTTATTTTAAACAAGGATTCCAAAAATGCCGAAATATACAGGGTGTTCCATTTAAAATAACAAGGTAGATGTCGAGGAGGCCAGGTTTGGGACACCCTGTATGCATTTAATTGTAATATTTTAAATCTTCAGGCGAATTCAGGAAACTTTTGTACGAAACTTATTTTCGTATCTCCTACGGGTTTCCAGATCGTATAGTGGATCGTTTTATTTGGCAATCGCTATGAGATCACGGAAAATGCTACTTACGCATTATTTATCGGTACATAACGACCACAATTGGAAACAACACTTACTTGAAACGAATTTCTTTTTCTTTTTTGGTTGGTTAAAAAACTTCCCTTACCGAAAATAATGAAATTTTAGTGTACAGATGTATCCACCAAGATAAAGACATTAATAATTTAATTAGACCAAAATTATTGAGAGGTATCCAACTCTGCTTTCTATCGTAAACAATTGTTTTGATATTTAATACATTTCGCTAAAATGTGTACGAGATCGATTCAAATTTATTTATGCCGTCCACGAATGTACAGGCTGTTCCAAATTCCTCTAAAATATGTTACTAATTTACAAGAAAACACAAACTTGCAACCAATATTAAATTTCACTTAAATTACACAATAAGATCCCAGGATACAGCTGGACTTCCAAAGGTATCGCATGGAAATCTATGGAGGTACAAAAAAGTCCACAAATGGAGATATTCGGTATCAAAAAATTACTACGGAATATTGCTCTGGTACCTCTAATGTTCCTCAAATTACCAAAACACTAAAACAGTGTTCCGTTTATGAAATCGAAATGAGTGAATGAAAAAGCATCTTCCTTGAATATGGGATATGCCGTATATTATACGCTAATTTGTGTAGAGCCAGTACATATTACGGGGTAAACTTAACACAAAATACAAATAGAACTTTCCCGTTTTAAAAAGCGAATCTGCAAGTCCGTTACGGTACATTTCATTTCGTAGGAACAATCGGGACACGACGCGTCAGTTTTGGTCATTAAACACGACTCCATTTTATCTTGCGAACTTGAAACCATTAAAATCGAAGTACTACAAAATAGTCGAAGCTAAAAATAACTCGGCCGGCAGAGACAAGTGGCAAAAAATTCGGAAGAGAAAGGTTTGTGACTAATAAAATTTCGCGTCGGAACAACCATTAGGCACTGTATACGAGAAACTCGCTAACTGACTCGCTGAACTTTGTTCAAGAAGAAATAAACCGTTAAAGCAATTAAAATGGAAATTCTGTGGGAACGTCGTCTAGGATTGTGTAAGGTTATTTCCAAATCGGATGCACGGCAGCATTCCATAATCGACAGATGCAAGAATTAGAAGAGCATGACACCATGTGCAACTTGTTCCCTAAACTTACTGGACACTTATCCATAACTATAAAAGCAGTGAACAATATTTGGACCAATTTTGCAGTAGCAGGGGTGGGTCATTCTAAAAATAACAATATAACAAACTGTACCAATTCATATATTAACACAAAAGAGATAATCTATAAGTAGCAGAAATCTGAAAAATTGGGGTTATACACGGAATTATGCTAATGCAAACGCGGGAAAACTAAACGAAATATTTTTTATTCTAATTTTTATACAGAAAGTGGTAGTCAACTTGAATATTTTTAATTACAACACTATTCGCTGCAAAAAATAAATCAACAGTCTGAAATTATCATTGCTAACAAAACATAAAAGTTAAATATATCAAAATCGGTGGAAAGTTAGTAGTAAAGTTAGGTAGTATTTTCGATTTAAAATAAAATATGTTTAATTTTCTCCCAAATCTTCAAATTATTAGCAGTTACATCAAATTAAAAATGCATTTAAAATAAAAAAAATTTATCGGTAATTTTTAAAAACGATACGTTTAATCGATTTAAACCGGATATCTACCTAAATATAAAAATTTTAAAAAATCGATAGTGTAATTTATTTTATTTATTTACATATTTTAATTCAAAATTTTCCTTATTTTAATGTAGATTACGACTTGTATTGTTAGATATTTATTAGCACCCCTCTTTATTACCATAACTACAATAATTATAACGATATGACTTACCATATGGTAATGGTAATTCTTTTTTAGTTAATTTATTTAAATTGGGGCGCAGCCCATTTTTTTTATCATTATCTTTCCGTAAAGCGCCGTCATTTATGAATACCATCAATATGGAATGTCAGAAAAACAGTCGACTAGATGACTTTGGGTCCATTATGGCAATATTTTTCTTCATCTTCTTGGTCGTCCGTAGTTATTGACTATAGACTTCCAGTTTTGGGCCCCTCCATTTTGCAATTTACTCGAAATCAACGGTCGAAGTTCAGTGTCTCTGAGAGTACCGCCTCAAGTGCCAGCGAGAACTTAACCGTTTAATCTTTTTTCGCCATCGCTCTTAACCGAAAGCATACCAAAAAATCTTAAAAACCTTGAGACCAAGTTACAATTTTGATATATTTTCATGACGTGAGAGATACGGTATCGATGCGTGGAAGGTCAATTTAATGACATCAAAGCATTTAATTGTGGCGATAAAATATTTTGTAGTAGGTACACGTTTTAATAATAAAATGAGCGTAAAAAATACATATAATACCTAGTCGAAGAAAATAATGTGGAGAAAGATAATTAGACTAAAGTTAAAATTGACTTTCATTGCATCGAGATACTAGAACGGCTATCAATAATCGATCACATACGTAAAACACCTCTTTTGTGATTAGAATTTTCCATACCAAGCACTTTCAAATTTATATGATCGCATCATTTTTCGATTTACGTACAGGGTAACTACTTGCTTCTATGTACAGATCAGTACAATATTTATTTTTAAAAAATCATCAATAGATTTTTGTTTTGTTTTAAAGATCACCGTGCTTCATGTTATCCTTAAAGGGCAAGGGCCTATATTTTTTATACAACATTCGTGTTATTTTTTTATTTAATATCTGACAACGCAGGCTTAATCAGGATCTTTCGAAACCCTAACTGCAAAACTCTATGAAAAACGATGTTTTTATAAGACTTCAATGCTCGAAGCGATTGACAATCTTTAACCCAATTGCTTCACAACTGCCATATAAATAATCAAAGTATTTTTCAAAAGTTTCAATGCTTACGTATATTTTTTATTTGGATTTTGAATGTTCGTTCATGGTTTTCGATTTTAGGATGTTGTAAAAAGTAGATAGTTTTTGATAAAACTTTGCCGAAGGGGCTGATTATTATTATTAATATTAATAATATAAATATTAATAATATTAATATTATCCATGCCATATTTTAAAATCATAAAAAACTGTTTCTAATTACATTTAAAGTCCTCCCAAAAGGCGTATCCAGAGCGATTAACATAAAACATTAGGGTTTTTTTAATTTAAAAATTAAAAAATTTGAAATCATCAATTTCGGTATAAATGTTTGAGGTTTGACGAAGTTTTCGCAATAGTAATTAACCAGCTTAATACTGTGTACATGAATTGACCCTTCGTGCAGTGCAAATTAGTTATAGAGAAAAGCGGATGAGAACTATATATTTAATAAAACCTAAAATAGGTGTTACTCCTTTTCATTTCAACAAATTGATTGCACGATTTCCAAAATCTAAAGGGAGAAGGAAAATTTAAAAGAGTAAATGCAATAAAAAAAAACTAGGTTGAAATAATATGGTTAATTCTTTTATTTCTAAATTTATTGCTAATCTTATTATTGCTAATTAAATGTTATATACTGATACCCACATGCCATAACCCGAGTTACAACAGAAACAGTGTAATTAGGTTTCTTTTGTCACCCTTTATTCTTTTTGCATTTTAATATGTATTTAATGATAGGAGCATGAATAGAAGGCTTACTTTAATTGCATTAACTTCGAATCTAGCAGGTAAACAAATTCACACACATAAAGCGTATTATTTAGTGCATAGTGATTAAGATTGGTGAAGGTTTACACAAATTTATTACAGTCTAATAAAATTTAGGATTTAACAGGTAATAAACGGCGGGCATAGTACCTAGGCAGGGTAGCTAGGTATCGCAGTTTTCTTAGAATTAGGAACCTTCTGGACGCAGAAGACTTAGGTAAAATCAGAATAGAACTTAAAGTTTAAACGTATAACCACAACCGGTCTTAAAATAACCTAGCCATCACGTGGGAGCTGAAGTAATTTGATAAGTGGGTAGGTATCTTGGCATGCTAAATATTTATTAGTAGGGCAACGGCTCAAAAATACTCCATGATCTCAACGAAATTTCTATAACTTCATTTAGAAACGTAATTCTTAAGAGCTGTAAGTATATAACTTTACAATAAATGGTATAATACACAACAAGTGGTAAAAATAAGAATTACTTACTTTCAGCAGTGTGTTCTGTTTCCTGCCGGAACCACTTTGCGAAAAATACGAAAATTATGACACCGATTCCGATCAAAGTCGCGGTCAAGGTCGCGGGACCCAAAGGCACGTTGGCGACGACACTTTCCATAGCTGACCCTTATCATAAAACCGGAAATTTCCCGATAATAATACGCGAAAATCGCTCCAACGTCACACGTTTCCAAGCCGACCACGAGGTTGTGCGTGTTACTCAGGCGGCTGTGGCTTCAAACTGACAAATGCCTCTCCTTGCCGGTGCAGTGAAATGCGCGCGAAATTTAAAGCTTACTCGATGTTTGGCAGTAGACATTCGATATTCGGTGGACATTCCAAGACACTGGAAGTTCGAATAACCCATTCGTGAGTTTTTTTTATAGGCTCGTGATACTGGCGAGATCTTGCCAACAACTGAAACGATTTCGCTACGGGACACGCGGTTTATAATACTTTTCTTTTTGTCCCGCGCCGCCGTGCCGGTCCTTTAAAACGACGACGGCCGCGCTCACGACTTCGCCGTTCGATACTCACACGTTGTGCCATGTTGCCGATTATAACCGGAAAGCTTAGAGATCCCAGGCTTTGACGCTTTATTTATGTAGTTCTCTCGGTAGTTCTTATACAATACCTATATCTCATGTTATATCGCCCTGGTTTATTGACGGCGGGAATTTTAAAAAGGCAATATTCAGATAAAATCAAGGCATTCTGGATAAGAGGAGCCTCGATTATAAGGGAAAAGGTTTTTAAAATACAGATATTTAAAATCAGCTTGCGGAGAGTTAAGTGCATAGTACTTTATTTCTATATAGGGCCACTGAAAAAACGCTAGATGCCGCTTTTGAGCACTTAGAGGATTTGAATTTGATCGCAAATGATTTTAAAGTGTACAGGCAAAGACAAACTTTTTGTTATCAAATAGAAACAAACCAGAACTAACTTAACAAAAATGCAATTTTATTTTATTAAAAATTATAACATATACTATGGATCAGTTTTTGGTGATATTTTAATAAATTATGAAAATCATGTTAGATGTAACTTTATGATCTTTTGATCGACGTACATCCGAATTGTTAAATTAATGCGTCTATGCCATGAGTAAAATGGGATTTCGTCAAAACAGCCCCAAATAAAAGTGAGCTGCTTATAAATTCTCACTCATACTATTACAGCCAAATTAAAAAAACTGACGCATTCAAAAGCACCGGTAATATCAACATAGTTAAAGAATCACTTCTGGTGTTTCTGAAATAGCCATTTAAATAATGCTTGACGAAAGGAACTTTGTGCCCAAATTTTTGAATGCGTGGATCATTTAAATTCTAGATAAATATAAATAATAAAATAAAAGAAGCAATTGTGTTCTTACAGTTTGTCAGATCAACAAATACCTAACATTAATTGATAAAATTTAATCAGGTTAAAAGTATTTAATAACTAACCTAAACCAAGTTTCATCAAAATTGCCAAAAGAGTAAACACTGATTTTCTTGAAAAAAAAATTAACACTTGAAACAAAACAGTCAAGGACTGTTGCGAATAAAATAAATATATCGATAGAGGCTGTATTCTTCACCTTAATAGTTAACTAACTACAGAGTAGATAATACATATATAAACAAGAAAATTAAATGAAAAAAGAAAACAACCCACAGGTCTTGGAATCGTAATCGCAATGTCAAATAAATGTTGTTAAATTTTCGTTTCTTAGATAAATTAGAAAACCATTGTATAATTTAGTAGTTTTATTGACAATTAAGGAAAAGTTATTTTGTCGCCAAGTTTGACGCCGCTAAAACAATAGTGGAAACCATAGATTTTAATTACAGTTGCAAATAGTGCAAGCACGTTTGAATTTTTGGCGCCTTCTGACATAGAATGTAGTTATTGCAAAAAATTTGTACTATGAACAAAATAATCCTTCAACAACATTTATTAAGAAAGTGCGTAAAATAAATTGCAGGAACTGTTGTGGTGCAAAATATTTTTGCTTCAATATAATTAGCCCCAAAATTGAAAGTTTCATCCTATTTCGAAGCAAATTAAAACGACGGTCGTTTTCCATTCAGGACACAAACATTTTCCTAAGAATGAGGGTTATAAAATGTTTTGTTTCAGGCTCAGAACTAAAAGTAAGCGAATATTGCCCGTGATTTCGATAAAAGCGTTTCGGTACCAAAACGAGGTTATGCCACCAACTTAAATCCGGCAACGCCGCTCGAGAAGTAACACCCACGACGTACTACGCGCGCATACCGCACCGGTGATGTGTTTCCCGCCATCTCCTTATTCCACGAATCGAAGTACCACACACTCACCTTAATCCAATCTCTTGTACGAATACCGGCGGAGACAAACCACGCACTCACGCACAATCGCTTCCACTATCACAGAATAGGTCGAACGCACTCTTCCAGTCGTTTCTGTTACGACAGACTTTGGACGGTCTGCTGTCTGGAGGACGTCGGTGGTACTAATCCGCGCCCGTAGATCGAGTTTTACGAGCGACACTTTGATAACGGTTCATTCCGTATGGAAATGATGTCCCGCGTGATTCGAAATTTCCGTCGCATTAATTGATTCACTTAAATGGACAATTTCTAGTACTACCCGATGACGTAACGCATATGGGGAATTACGCACAACTTTGGAAATGTCTGCGATAATCATTAAATTGGAATTTTTCATATCGCCCCAGAAATCCAATTTATCGACAAATCAATCAATAGTTGGCACGGACATAAATTCTATAACGTAACGCTTTTCTTGTCAAAATGTCGAGATTCGTATAATGAAATCTGTAATTGTTACAATCAGGAGGGTGTGTTTTCGGACTGACTACGTCGCTGTCGTAGAAAACAATAGTTATTATATTAGCACTGATAGTACTACATAATTATAGATGTTAGATTAGGTTAGGACCTCCATCACGGCAAATTTTGACAAAAAAACTTTAGTGCTAACAAGTGGGTACGTTTTTCATGTATTATTAAATTTATTAATAATTAGTAACCCAAAATTCAAAACAAAAATACCCATTATCGGATTAAAAAATATATTACTGCATTTGGAAGTTAATTCACACACAACAAAGCAAATTTATAAGAGGTGTCACACAAAGTAAGTAAGTAACTAATATCGTGTACAATGGACTTCCCGGTTTGTGCTTGCACTTAACATGATGCTGAAAATATATATAATATATTTGTGCAAGTTCCTAAATCCGAAATAATACAATACGGCTAGTTGCGAAAAGGGCTGTATCCTATATTATGATTTGTTTTAAATGCATTTGATGATTATTAACTACAATAGATACAAATTGAAAGAGTTTTAAAGAACATGTAACAATAATAGACAGAGACTATACCCAGCGTTATTTATTTTATGATTTATTAGCCATTGTTAGAGTTTATTTTTTATTTTATGAAATGATTTATTCTCAAATTCAACGGGTAACATGTTATTTGGTATCGTATTAGAAATATATTTTTGGCATTTGGAATAATACAGTTAATATTTTGTTCGTGTCTCGTGATATTTTGTTGTTTTTTTTTGAGCAAATCTTTCCGCTGAGTTTATAAACAACTGTTTAATTTGTAATGCAGGGGCAATTATTGTTACAATAATTAAGTAGTGATTCAACTAACAAACAGTGCACCTTCATTCATATATTTATAGATTAATTTTCTATTTTTATTAGAGATGTGTTCAATATGTTCTTGTCATCTTAAATTTAAATCAATAGTGACCCCAAGATATTTAATTTTATTAGTTTTATTTATTTTAAGGGTACGATTGCAGTGAGGGCGATTTTGACAGTCACAGCTATGAACAGTTGCGACGGTAATAGTGGAGTCATTCGCTTCTATTATTGAGAAGCAAAAAAGCTTGACTTATCAACGTTCAGTGTAAAGAAATTTTTTTCATACCGACGTTTTATATGTTTCTCTACTAATGACTATCGCGGTGTCATCTGCCTCTTTGTTCCTTGGGTATTAATAATAAACAGAATAGCACATTAACGTATAAATTAAAGGGTATTTAGAATAGAACTTATATTTTTTCTTATTTAAGCTTGATTACCTATAATGAGAATGATAAGAATGATCGGCCAGTGATCAGATACTCCATTTGGTAATGTGCTTGATTGGGCGGTGAGTTTATAACGAAAAAATGATCTAAAGTTAAAGGTGTGTGTCTTGTTCGAAACTTTGTGCAACAAACCTTTAACTATAATATATATTAATCTATCTTTGATACCTCTAATTAAAATACCCATAAATTCGAGTACTTGAGACATTTTTCACACACCGTTTGTTCTCTTTTACTGTGTACATTGACAAGAACAATGTAAAAAATACGGACGAGCTACATAAGTAACTGCAACACGATACATGTACATACGACTACAATGCAATCCTATAAATCCACTAATGGAGATATTTGTACCTACATTTGTGCATTCATTTTCATTAAAGTTATATTTGTTGAACTGACTACCAAAACTAAACGGAAGTTATTTTATCCGATAAATATTTGGACTAATTCATAGGAGGTCTTATGAAAAGCGCATTTTCTCAAGTGTTCTTAAAATCAAAACACTCAATAGCAATGCAAACAATTCTCTAAATTTACGCAAAAATAGTATAAACATTAAACGATTTGCAACACATCAAAACACCGCGTCAACAAAATATGCGTCATAAATTTTGTATTTCTGTTTATTTCAAACGCGCAGAATATGGACTTTATGCGTCATTATCCAGATTCCATTCACTTTCTTCTTTGCATGCGAAGGGCGCCACGGTGCTTCATAATTCCTCGTATGTGAGTGTGAAAGATCTTTCCTTCCACAAGTACAAATACAAACACAAGCTCATCTTCAATGTTTTCTTCCCTCGAATGTCTTTATTTCATATATACTCAAATTGCTTTATCAATTGCTACATCGTGGTCTAGGTCTAGGTCTAGGAGGCCTAAAACAATCATAATTGGAACTTGTGTTGATTTCAATTAATTTAAAAAAACTGGTTAGTTTTTCTGTTGTCCAATAAAAAATAACTTATAAATAAATGAATGATGACCTAATAGGTTTTATTTTCTTCATAATTTGGCTACTAGAATGAAGGGAGTAAAGCGGCTATTGACAAAGATTTCTAGATATACAGAAACTTATGTCGATCAATCTCTTTTGGACCAGATAGTTTGTTGTCATGTAATTTAAAAAATTCTAATTGGTTGGTTAATGAATTCGTTGTTATATTTATTGTACAAATAAAATAACTGTAGTTCAACAATAATCAGCAAGCAAAATTTCCCTAGTTGCAGCACCAAATAAAAAAGTAATGAACAACATAAAAGAAAATGATGCACTTCCGTCTGGTGCCTGTGAAGATGTTGAGTATACCGTTAAACTGATAAAAATTGATGAAAGTGGCTTGTTGAACCATTCTGCAATAATGCATGGTAAACTTGTTGGATTGATATGGAAACAGAAAGCTTGTTTACTGTAAACGATGTATATCTGATTGCTTGTATAAATAGCACATGATTCTCAAAACACGTTTCCGAATCGTCCTTTCTTTCCGCAGGACAACTTTTTCATATATTGCTTCGAAACGAAACGAATTTCATAGACATAGATGTCAAATGTTAATAAAAACATAAATAAATTTCGGTCCAATATCCCGATATAATTTATATCGATTATAAATCATTGTTCTAACATTACTAATCCCGTCGATACCCTACCATAAACCAAGCAGTTTTCTTTTATTTATAAACATCGTCAAACATATGTCGCTATCATATTATCCAATAAACGTGGTAAATAAATGCAACTTTCTCATTAAACAAGTTCATTAGTTATTAAACCGATAACCAGTGCAGATCACAGCCGAAAAAACATTTGCTAATCCTACGCACTTTCACTCGTTAATTATCTCAGATGT